AAGCGTTCAAATAATCCTGACGATTGGGCTGAATACAAGAAGGCCAGGAATAAAGCAGTCGGCATGCTAAAGAGTGCTAAACGAAAGTATTATGTCTCAAAACTTGAGAATAATAAAAACAATGCCAAAAAAATGTGGAAAACAATCAATTCAATTTCTGGATTGAGCAAACAGTCTAAGCGTGTAAACAACCTTAAAGTTGGTGGGTGTCTCTTAGAGGACAATGAAAAAATCGCTTCTGAGTTTAATGATCATTTTACATCTATTGCGGATCAGCTTAGGTCACTACTTCCTCAATTGAATTTTGACATATCTAAACTTCAAAAATTTGTCATCACAAGAAAGGATGCTAGCATCACTTTCTCCATTCCTCCTATTACAGAGAGCAAGATCATCGATTGTCTCAAGAACATTAGCTCAAACAAGGCCAGTGGTATTGATAATATCAGTGCGCGAGTGCTGAAATTAGCAGCTCCTATTATTGCTCCGTCCATTGCTAAACTAATTAATTATTCCTTCCTCACATCAGTTTTTCCTCAGCGCTGGAAGACTGCAAAAGTCACTCTGTTATTTAAAGGTGGGGATCCAGAAAACGTAAACAACTATCGTCCGATATCAGTGTTGCCAGTACTTTCCAAGGTAATCGAGAGGCATGTACACGACTCACTTTATAGTTATTTGTGTGTCAATAATTTAATTTATTCTAAGCAGTCTGGTTTTCGCAAGTGTCACAGTACTGAAACTGCTCTTATTGGAATTATCGACGAACTGCTGTTCAACCTTGACAGTGATCGCGTGAGTGGTATGATTTTAATTGATTATTGCAAGGCTTTCGACATGGTTGATCACTCGATTCTATTGCAAAACCTTCAAGCATATGGGCTTGACAACAAATCGTTAATCTGGTTACGATCATATCTGAATGAAAGGCGCCAGTTGGTATCTATGGGTAACATAGAATCCCCTACTGCTTGTGTTCGTCATGGCGTACCTCAGGGCTCAGTGCTGGGTTCCTCACTTTTCATCGCCTTTATTAACGATCTTCCGCAACATGTGAGCTCAGCTCAAATTGACCTATACTCAGACGACACGACGTTAACCTCCGCTGCTAACTTTGATTCCGTTGGTGTTCTACAAAGTTCACTGACTACAGCAATTTCTGAGGTCGACCAATGGGCAACAGCTAATAAACTTCCTCTCAATGAGGGCAAGACAAAAGTGCTTACCATTATTCACAAGCGACTTTCTACCAGAATTAACCATGACCTTGCTGTAGTTGTTAATGGAAAACAACTCGAGAATGTTCGTTGTGCAAAGTTTTTGGGACTAGAAATCGACCACGAACTAACATTTATCCCTCATGTAGAGAAATTGAGTTAAAAGCTCTCGCAGCGGATAGGCATTTTAAAGAGAATTAAATATTGTCTACCTCTAAAACATCGACTTATTTTCTATAACACCATGATAAGACCGGTAATTGATTATGTAAATGTGGTTTGGACGAGCTGTGATAAACATTGCCTTAACCGCGTTTTAAAGTTGTCAAGCCTCCTCTGTCAAACTGTTCAATAAACTAAACTGGATAACATTTTTCGAACAAGCTAAACTAACTAAATGCTGTATTATATACAAGCGTTTACAGGGGCATGTACCAACCTATCTTAAAAGTTTACTTAAGCTTACTGGCGACACTCATTCACGGCAGACTAGGTATGCCAACTTCAATATTGCTCGCCCTGTTATCAAGCGTAAAACTGAAGGAGGAAGAACATTTACTGTGACTGCCTGTCAAGCCTGGAACAGCTTACCGCTATCTATGCGGAAAATAGCGTCGCTTAATTCTTTTAGGAACTCTCTTTGGTAAAAAAATTTTTGAAGAAGAGCAGCTTTTAAATCATTTTATTCTGTGATTTAGTTATACTTTTGTACTTTTAATTTATTTTATCTCTTATCTCTTGTATTTTTATTCGTTATATTATCTCATAGTTAAGCCATAGTTTTTAACATCCGTATTGTTTTAATTTAATTTTAATTTAGTTTTAATTTTAGAGGGCCACTGGTTTGTTAGTATTTTAATACTATTTTAGTGCTACCCTCTTTAAATAAAGTCTTAACTTACTTACTTACTTACTTACAACTAAAGCAAAAGCAAAGAAGGAGCGCTCCGTCAAAGTGTCGCTATTTAAGATGAAAAGTGAAAACACCTTCAGAGTTCAAGCTATGAAAAGTTCATAGAAATAACCTTCTTCTCCGTTAACATAATTAAACAATAAACCAAACTTTCCATCGGTTTACCGGCTAATAAACCACGCGAAATGTTGGGAGAACACAAGGCGCAGCCGAGTAGTTTACAAACTTTTCGACATAAATATGAGTTAAGTTTGTGAAAGAGAATAATAAATTTAATCTTATTTCGTGATCAAGTCGTTGATTCTCATAAAAATCCATCAAAAAGTGTGATAAACCAATCAAAGCTTCGGAAACTGAATGAACTGCCGGCCAGAAGAGCGAAGACTGTAATTAATTTGTCGCTGAATGACAGTAATGGCACGGAGAAACTGAGCAGAAATTTGAAAGAAAACTAACGAGGAATAGCAATATGCAAGACGAAGCACAACTACAAAGTGCTACTGAAGAATACTTCAATTTGGACAGGGAAAACGCGATTTTTGTGGCCAAAATAAGCTTGCCTTTGCGATTGCGACTGTAGGTTTCCCAGTGGACTTCATTACTTCCACTGCCCACTCAGCCTCTTCTACGTTCGCAAGGAACTGTCGGAGAGACATTCGGCCAATTAACACCCATGAGACACGAGTTTCTAAGGATGCATTACGTTTCAAGGGTTCAATTTTGACATTATTTTCTTTCATGTGAGTATCATACAATGGGTGGCAAGTACATCTGTAAAACATGTCATAAAAGCAAAAAGGACTTTTCCGAGATTACATAACCCTTTCGTAACATTGGAAGGGAGGGGAGGACTGTCGAAAATAACGCGAAAAGTGCGATAGTATTTTACTCCCCTGTGAAAGGTGCCCTTCCTTCTGCGAAAAACGTCCCGTTCAGTCAAACTGATTAACTTCCATTTAACCAGGTGCTGTAGTAACAAGCTATAGAAATCTGCTATAAAAACGCCAACATTAACAACGAATAACCATAGTGATCTGCTTCGTTATGCAGATTACAGTAAAAATTAACTCAAACAAAATAAAATTACCTCAGCTATGATTAGATCAACATCGTTCTGAATGAATATCTGACTTTTCTCCCTAAACTTCTTCGTTACAATTTCTTTTCCAGCAACTTGTGAATACAGAGAAGCTGCCTGACAGACGGATCCAGCAAAAAATACTCCTCCCTCCTAAGCGACACTTTTGGCAAGGTCAGATGCTGCCTGATTTATTTTTATGGCCTAAAAAAGATTCCAAGTATACAAAAACTGAGCGTGTATCCTTTAAATTATTAGTTATCATTATTCTTACAATTACTATGAATTAAAATTAACTTTGAAAAATTCTTCTGGAGCACAGTGTGTTATGGTTTCTTGTCAACTTAAAGAAGTATGTTAGGTTTGATCGCACTCTATTTTAGGTACTATACTCTGTTCTCAGAATATCGCTCACGGGATGCCGTCCCTCAGATGAAGGGTTTTGTGTCTGTGGTGTATTTAGGGTTAGTAATTATAAAGGGGGCGGTGTTAAACTGAAGGAACAGAAAATATTTGGGAGCGGTATTCATTTAGGAGTTAGCACTTATTTGGAGACTGCACCTATTTCAGGATGATCCCAATATGAGGGCGGTTCTTATATAAGTAAACAGTGTTCCTAAATGGGATTAATGAACATTTGGATTGGGGTTTGTACAAATTTGAGGTTGTGCTTTTATTTGAGGGAAGAGCTTATCCAGGATTTTCACTTCTTTGGAGATAATGTTAATTTGGTAATCAGGGACTAATAATTAGTCCTCGATTACCAAATTAACATTACCTCCAAAGTCCTTGGTTACCAAATTAACTTTACCTCCAAAGTCCCTGATTATTAAATTAACATTACCTACCCATCCCCAAAAACTATTTTAGGGATGGGGCTTACTTGGGAGGTACATATTTGGGGAGGTACTTTTTTGGAATTGAACTTGTTTTGGGGTGGTGCATCTTTGGTGGTGGTGCTTATCAACTTATAATTAAACTTCCGGCGAGGAAGAATGTACTGTTGTTTGCCCAATAAAACTTGGCAATTCGACCGATTGATTTTAATAAAACTTTTCTTGCGGATAAAAAATTACAGATCAATATCTTAATCAAAGCGTTACGCTACTCCTCCGAGCGATTTATGAGTTTAGGAACCGGAAAAGCCCCCGGCAATTGTAACAAAACCTTGAAAACCACCTCAATATAAACGACACTTGCACAACAATGTAAAAAATCTGGGCAAAAAGTGTGCTACAAAGGTACATATATTGAATTTACACATTTTGGCACTTAGAGATTATGAAAAACATGGCTGGATTCGAAATCGATCACCTGGATATCATTTTATTCTCCAAATCTCACGAAACAACGGAACATAGAAATTTGCCACTAGATTGATAGCGAGAATAGATTCTCCAAATAAACTTTGTGCGATTCTTGGAGTGAGTTACGAACCTGTGGTAGTAACGCGTTGACCCCTTGTTTGAAGCTTGTTTGTTTTTCCAATCTCCATGCAGAAGAAAATAGTACCGTTCCCTTTGCGAAAACACCAGATCGAAAGGTATTATTTTCTGCCTGTGACAAAAGTCGTCCTTCCACCCCTTGCATGTTTTCGCATCAGAAGGCAGCATGCATAAGACGAATGGACGTTCATTGTGATAAATTTCATTGTAAACGTATGTAGCATTGTTAGACAATTCTTCTGACTGCATGGCATTTGCTGTAGAATCATTTGCGTTAAAGGGGCGGCAATTGAACTTGTTTCTAGACCCTTTCTTTCTGGCAATAGATTTATTCACAAACGCTTCTTCTAAAGCAGTTCGCGAGACTCTTTTTTCCCTAGGCCCTTGCAAATTTGTTCGAGGTGTTTGCCAAGCATTTCGTTTTTCTCCGCTACAGCAACGGAGTGCTTGCAAACTTTATCGGCCTTGAAACTTGGGCACCGACACGATACGTGGTTAGCGTGAACAGTGCACTATACTCTTCCGTGCTTAGCGGACTTCGAAGCCACTTCAAACTTATTCTGGGCCTTCCTTTCATCAAGGATAGGTAGCCTTTGGATTGCCGATGGACTATTGAGTAACGGGAGTGCTTCTTCTTTTACAGCAAGGGCTACTTCTTCCTTCTATCCTCGCTCGGATACCAAAATTTTACATAATTCCTCGGATAACTCATGGAACTCCCTGTCTGTACATCTCTTGGCAATTGTGTCATTCACCGTGATGGTTTTCTTGTAAAGAGCGTTGTCGACTGAAATCGAGTTGAACTTTGCAAAGTCCTCTTTTCTTTGCGCCACACTCCATTCAAACTAGACCTCCGCGGGAACGGCTACTTGTGCCGCTATCTTTCATAATTCATATTGGTCACTTAAACCGATGACTGCCAATGTTAGTTCCTGTTGTTGTTTCCGGTGTACCTCTTCAAAGATGTTTTTTGTGAATTCTAGTTTAGAGAGCTGCGTCGTTTCTGACTTCTTTTGCTCTCAAAGATAGCTTTCTTTTGTTTGAAGCAACACATCGTTAATTACTTCCGAGCCATTGGTATATGGTCTAGCAGGTTTGCTTGCTTTCAAACTCATTTTTTTCGCAATCATTCTTTGTCTTTCGTCGAGGAATTTAGAAAACATCTCTGCATCCACAATGCCATCAATTTTCTCTGGAATTCCGAAAACTTTGTTAAGGAAAACTTTTTGTGCCTTGGCTTCTCTTATACCTGTCTCGCGGAGTTTTTCTTTACAGTTGCTTTGGAAATGATGGATACACCTCAAATGGGTTGCTTTTGGAAGCTCTGTTTTCCAGGCACGGAATAGCTCTTTTTTCCGTCGGTGATGAAACCTTTTGCTGCAGTTAATCCCTTACAACTACTAACACAAGTTTATGCCAATACTTTGTACGTGTCAAAGTTCTTCTTGTGATGTAGCATTGTTGGAACAAGGAAGACTGGATTTTGACCGTATCTTTTTGTTCTCAGGAACAATTGCTTATACACTACTTGTGTAACTGAACAATTGTTTCATACGTCAGCGTGCGTCCATCGAGATATGAAGCACGCGGAAAGTTTGGAGAGCACAAAAGATGCGTTGAGAATTGCTCGAGGCGTAGCCGAGAGCAACTCTAGCTTCTTGAGTGCTCTCCAAACTTCCCAAGTGCTTCATATCTCGATGAACGCACAACTGACGTAGGAACCAATTGTTTTATAACATTTTCAACCCGATGGTTTAAATGTTGTAAAAGGGTCGATAATCCCTCTGCTAAGCTTCAGCGCGTTGATAATTTTATTTCAGGAAAACATTTCGCTACGCTGTAAACGATCTTGTCTTAGATTGGTCAAAAAACTGACGGGTGAATTCATGCGTGTAAATGAACTTTATTTTTTGACTGAGTACAAAATTCTGGAGGGACTTGTTTGCTGACGTCATGAGCATGCACAATAGGAATAGGAAGCACACTCGCGCATTTGAAATTGATTAGACAAATTTACTAGCTATGTTAAAATTAACAATTGGTTCATACGTCAGCGTGCGTTCATCGAGATATAAAGCACGCGGGAAGTTTGGAGAGCACGAAAGAGGGAAATGTTTGCTGACGTCAGGAGCGTGCACAATAGGAATATGAAGCACGCTCGCTCAATTGAATTTGATTAGACACATTTACGCGCTATGTTATAATTCATATTGACCCATGTTAAAAGTGGGGTCAATTCGGATGGGATGACTCAGACTCTCTGAGCAAGAAAATTTTACGAGATCGCTACACATTATGTCTGTGTCAAGAACCCAAAGCTGCATATCTTCATGAAGCAAGACTACTTTCTCGTCTTTGTGTAGAGCGGTACACAACCAGATCTTTAACGGGATCCATATCTCGTTTTGAACGAGCTTGAACATCCTACACTTGTTTCCGGGATCGGGGCACTTCCCCTGCTGACTTTGCTCCAGTTGGTCCTCCGGTCATACTGGATACAACGTTGAAGGCCTGTGATGGAGGCTTTTCTTTTAGCTGATCTCTTATCGCCTGCAAGGTACTTTTTGCTCTGGGGTAGATGGGAGTGTTGGTACTCTTCTTCCTATTTCCGTGTGACTAGACTTGGAAATGGACTTCTTTTGCTTCGCAGGAAATGTGATATTGCAGCAAAGCCACCCCATTAACAATTTCACCATTAGCATCCTGGAGTACGAAAATTGACCCCCCAAGATCGGGACACGCCTTGTTGCCTTTCGAGTGAGTTATCATGTGATACTTGTTATCACCGTCTAATTCCACCCTCTTTTGGAAATGATCTCTACCATAACGTGATCGGCAGACAAGACATCACACTCAACAGTCCACACTCCACAACGTAGAACCCTGGTGTATGCGCCGCTCATATCATCTTTTACGTCCTTCCAATTTTTAAGTGACTTGACATCTACGAGGAAAGCTGAATTTTTGCGGACGCGCCATGGTCGCTCTTTACATAATTTCACCTTTTTGTCGTGACACATTATGATTCTAATGGCCTCTGAAACAGTGTATCGTGCTTTTCGTCCATGTCCAAACAACTAAAGATTGTGATTATTTTCCCAATACAAGTCAACCTATAAAGAGAAAGTAGCCAATTTTAATATCAGTCATTATCATCATCATCGTCGTTATCATTATTATTATTATAATTGCAATTACAATTTGTGATTACTGGAAAACATATAAGGTATAAGGAGTCAGTTGCTCTTTTGTTCTTTGTTTAGTGATAATTATAGTGAAGGTTGAATACTTTCATACCTTCGATACATTTGATCCGTCGAATGTCCCTCTTTCCTTTGGAGGTTCTAAGTAGATAGAAAAGATCAGATAGTTAGGGGATTAGCTATAATGCAAACTTAACATCATTGAGTATAAAAATCAATAAAAAATGAAGATGGAAAAAGTGAAAATTAGTTGTTTTTCAAAGAGAAGACATTACAAACCTGTTGACAATGTTCCCTCCCTTTCGCTTTCACTGTCTTCTTCTGATGTCTAAAAATGACTCTCCACAGTTGTATCATCATCCTGTACGAGCAAACGGTATGTCACGTGATAAACAGTCTTTTGAATATTCTTAGATCTCCTGATATCAGTCAATATTCATGTAATTAAAGGCACAATTTTTCCTCTGACCCTACTCACAATTTATTATGTGTAAGGATTGGCATTGGCTATAAAAGCATAGTCAAATTAAAGTTTTGTGCACAACCAGGGCGTGAAATCGCACCTAATACGGGCGCCAATTCGACTAAATTTTCACTTTGGCTACCAAATCGGCGACTAGAATACTTCATCAAAACCTTACCTGGAGATATATTGAATTAAAAAGATTTGCAAAGATAAATCCGCGGCAACCTTCCTCGTGAAGTTTGTTTCCAAAATGAAGCACATGCATCTCGATCGATGTTCAGACGCCGTCTTGGATTTAGGTGAGCTTGAACGTTGTATATCATCCATCCTAGTGTCCACTTTGTAGCACGTTAAATTAAAGATCTTTTTTCCTAACTTAATTTTGGAGGATCTATCTAGAACGCTGACAGCGTGAAAAAAAAGCTTTGTTTGTCTTTAAAAATGGCGACCAATTTTTTTTGAATTGGCCACCACTTTGAAAAATTTAGGAGCCAAGTGGCTATCAGAGAAAAAAAATTAATATCGCGCCCTGACAGCCTATGCATCAAATTTATGTAATAAAATATTATTTCCTTCTTAAAACTAGTTTATCAGAATAAGAATGAGTCACCAGGCACAAGTATGGCTTTTCACGATGATAGTTTCGGGGTTTAAAAAAATTAAAATCCTGCTAAGTCCCTCTTCATGGTCAAGTTTTAATTATGATATTCTTGTTCTAGCTGGTCTTCCTTTAAATCAAACTTTCACTGTGAAAGAAACATGGTAGATAAATTTTGTATTTCAGTAGCTATCTTAGTAGTTTACCATAAATTCTTGTCATTTTGGCTCATCTTTCCAAACCGAAATTATCAGTCATGCTCAATCAAATATAATTTCGACTGATGCAGACATCATACACCTCTACTGAAAAACTAAACATACCCTATCTACGAAAATTTGCTCAAAACATCATGGGAAATAACAAAGGTCCTCAGCTGCTTGTATAAAATACCGCTGACTAACATGTGTGTTGATTGCTTTTTATGTCGTGAGATCCCTAGGTTCCAGACTCCCTCAATTATCCCCCGGAATGGTCCATGACTGAATCCCCTTGAAGATATCTAAATATTGAGAATTGACTCAAATATTATCTTACGAGCGTTTTGTGTGAACATTAAGTTACCTGAAGGTGAGACATTATTCTGTTTTAAAACAGATATAAATGTTTTATGTTTTAACTACTTTCAGGGGGGGATATAAACTAGAAAGGGATAACCTGCTTCATCTGTGAGTTGTGAGTAGACAGTTACTGTTAATTATTGTCTATAAAATTCGCTTAGCTTTAAAATTTACTATTTACGCAGAAAAAATATTTTAAAAAGTAAAACCAAACGTTTTCGACGTTAGGTCATCATCATCATTATCATCGTCATCATGATGACCCTGTTGTGAAAAACGTTTGGGTTTTACTTTTTGGTTATATATTTGCCCCCTTAATAGCTAATTAAGTAGTTAATGGGTTAAGACTGCGTAAATCCTATTGGGATTATTTTTAACTAGTAGTGGACGATGATAACTTCATGAATTGTATGACTTTAGATTCTGGATGAAGTACAAGAACTCATGGTCTGGAATGCCCAAAAAAGTTACTTTTATTATTATTATTATCATTATTATAATTATTTATACTTAATTTGCATAAAACCGGTTAAGTCTTACAGACAATAACTTCATGGCAAAATAAACCAAACAGTTAACACACAGCGGACTTATAACACTCGACTTCGATAAGGACTTTCAGTAAAGTTGTCGAAAAGTCAGTCACTACAACCAATATGGTCCTTCTCAGAACCACCCAAACTACACGGTCAAATGATATATCCCTGGGTTCAAACCATTCAGTGTATCAAGACATGTACGTTTTTAAATATGATTTTCTCCAGAACAAACAAATGCGGTGAGTGTGAATCTTTGAATAATAATCTTTGCAAGCATTGATCTAATCAAAGACAACTGTGATGTTTAAGCTGAAATGCTACATCATAAGTTATAATGCTTCCCAAGTTATTTTAAGCTTTAAAAGAGAATACTTCGAACAATTCTAAAAATTTGAGTACTTCCAGGAGGGCAAACGATATTATTTAGCTGGATGATTCTGCAAATAATAGGAAAAGTAAACTGAAAATTGCAAGTCAAAAGTTACTGCTCGTTTCAGTTGCGTGAATAACCTTTTGTAGCTTGGTTAACTAGAGGATAGATTGTTCAGAACTGATATGTTTGAGAGAATCGAGCTGCGTCGCAACTAGAACTACTTCTATCATGGCCGAATGATGCCTGGCGATCGCAAGGCATGATGGAATCATTGCATATTGTCATCACAGAGACGTATTGGTATATTCTATCCCAGGAAATGGAGACTTAGTTTTCCGTAAATATTAGTTTAAATCACTCAATAATTTCTGAAGCTTATCCCACGCACATACCTTTTCACTGTTACATTGTTCGCATGTTTTGATGAGTCTTGGCTTGAGAAGGGTATAAACACTGAGTGTACCAGGAATTCATGGAGTAACCGACAGTGAACGACACAATATTTATTTCTTTAATTATTTCTTCACTGTCGACATCACATTTGTAATTGATATGTACAGATCTGCTATGAGGCCAATTAAGTAAAGAAATGTGTTACCTCCTCAATCGATTGGTGTTGCTTAATAAAGGCTATCTGCAATTTCTGTCTCTCATCTGCACAGTTTTTCAGCATTCCAAATACTGTCCGAAAAGCCTTGCATCTAAAACAACATCAACATCATTGAATTAAACATTTTCGCAAACTTTCATGTGTCTTTGAAGGGGAACATTGGAAGTTCGCGACTAACCGTACGTATTTCTAATGTTCTCTGTATGCTGTCAACAAAAGGTACTCAAAATTAAATAAGCTAGTGCAACGTATATTATCAACACCGCGATTCGCTCTTGATGATATTCGCTGATAACGTCTATTAGACTGCGCATGTCTGCGTGCTAAAGACCATAGTTAATTAGAATTCAACGAATACATGTACGAAATGAAGTCCAATCATTTTGATATTGTCAAATCAAGAGAGGGCAATGTCCTGAATTAGCTTGGTGGAGACTATATGGTAAACTTTAACTTTACACGCATTTTGATACAGCCGCATAGTATATTTCGTTGTTAACAACATTTAACTTCGTCATGTTGCCCTGCTTCTCTTCAGTAATAAATCACTGAAGAATGAGGTAAGATCATCTGTGAATCCATTTGTAGCTTAGAGACCTGGTGCACTGGTAACGAATCGCTGTAGCAGTGAATATATTACACTTTTTCGAGGCAGTTTGAGTCATGAAAGATACATTCGATCAAATAATTGATTGATGAAGTATTAATTATGGTACAATAACTTTCTTCCACATGCTATCCTCTTGATAAAAAATAACATATCTCATGGAAGAACAGCTTACAGTTGTTAATGATCTCGTGATTTGATGTATCATATCGCCTATAACAAGCTGATTAAATTTTCAAGTGTCTACGTTGCTATGGCGCAGTTCACTGCTAATAACACTCTGAACTCGTTTAAAAAAATTGAAGAAATTCAGGAAACTTCGCAACGATGTCTTCAGGTTTCCAAATTTCATTCTTTAATTGTTCGTCCCAGTCTTTGCTGTGTAGATGCAGATCGATCTGCAAAAAGGACGTTTTTATCAGTAAATAGGTTTACACGCTGAAAATAAAATTTGAGGGGCAGGGAGATTTGGTCCATTTACTTCATCGTCTTCAGTGAACGTAAAAGTTATCGTGGACAGATATGACAACAGAACTTGTCTTTCATTTTCAGCTTGTAGAAATCTACGCGATAGAAGGGCCAACCATTCTCGACACCGCGAGCGTTTTTTTTTTCATCTTCGAAGTAAATTCAATTTATCTTAAATTCCATAATGCGTGCTTTGGGTTACCATCTCAAACAGTGTCATTCCGCAATCATGCAGCCAAAAAAATTTGGGTGCTTAAATCCAAGGGTTTGAAATATCTTCGTTAATTTTGAGACGAGCGTAACTGAACTTTTTTACATATATATATACATATATATATATATATG